GCCATCTTGCCGGTTTTTCTTTTTTTTCTGATAACACTCCGTTTGGAGTGTGCCTCTGAAAAATCTCCTTTTGGAGGGCCATGTAGACCTAACACTTCGCCCTACCCCATCTCAACAAAAATCGGGACACCCTAACCCTAGACGTGAACAAGCAAAACAGAGGGCTAAGGGCTAAGTGGTAGGGGCAAGGGGTGAAATGGATTGGGCCTTAGAGCACCGAAATGAGGAACTGAAGACCTTATAGCCTCACAGTACTCACAGGCACGCGCAAATGAGGACCACTGGACCACAAATGCAGTAAATGGCACAGGACTATATACTACTACACGAGTGCTATATACTACACTACTACTTGGTAGCTCATACTATTCTCTTCCTTATTTGATCTGATAGGCTACCTGCCATTTTCTCGAAGTTGACCTCAAAAGCACCTGCACTACTGGAATTACAGGACTGAATGCCATCCAATGTTGGCACACTTTTGCTTTTGACCAAGTGGCGTCTGGGTACTTTTCATCTGCTATTTAATGAATACGATTCACTTTCGAATACACTAATCTTTCTGGAATAGTAATTTGGCTCACTATTTAGGTTAGAAGTATGCATTTTTAGACACGGCTTATCTTACTTCAAAAGCCACTGTAAGTGTCACTAAGTGACACTTTTTCCCCAAATGGTATTTAATTAAACAAAAAAAATGTAGATGAGGTTCTATGAAGAATTGAGTTGCACAGAGAAGCTTTATTTTCCACAGGTAGCAGTCCTTACTTCCTTTTTTTTAGGCTTCCCTCTTAAGCCTGGTCCAAGGTCACTGTCACAGGAATAAGAACACAACTTCACAGTTGGATCACCACTAACTACGTCCAGAACTTTCTCTATATAAGGGAAAGTATTTAGTTGTGGGGCTTTACTCCAGTGAGGCCAGACTGCGCTCCTTTCTGTGAATTTGTTTATGAAGTCATAGTAAAACTGTGCACTGTACTTCTCTGTACTTACTTTATAGACAGGCATACAGTTTTATATTAACAGTAACTCTATCAGTCTCAAAGGTGTCTGACATCTGTTCAGTATCCCAACGTATTCAGCCAAAATGCAAATAAGAGCATTTGTTTTCATGTCAGCTCTCAACAACTGATTACTTTTAAATGAGATGGTCAAGGCTGTGTCATATCAAGCTGTAAGATAACATATCTAAAAGAAGTTTCCTTTCTGTTTAGCCTGTGTAGTATGTGGATATGATGAAATGGACCAATGAATTAACCTTTATTGACCATTATAGTCATATAGGTTCCATTGTTTTGTTGCTTTTGCTTAAATCAAGGATCAATACACATGTTAACACTTCAAAAAGTTGTTTTAAAGTTATTTGAAGTTGTTTTAAAATCTATACTTTGTATAAAATTAGGTCATATTTGCACTGCCAATATCTATGATCTAAATATAAATCTGCCAAATGTAGGATTATTCACATGTATGACCATTAAAGGAAAACTATTACAGACATTTACTGTCACAGAAATTTGGACTAAAGTTCTGGTGACTGTTCCAAACCCAAACCCGTGAAACTTGTGAAAATAATACTTACATTTTTCTAAAGACCTGATTGATTTCTTTTACAGTGAATTCAAAAGATTTAGATACAGAAATGTAATTTTTACATTAAAAACCTATATTCAAAAAATGCTCCCCCCCCCTGTTTTCATGTTACTACCGAAACACACAGTTTTAGTCCATAGGCACAGCCTTATTTTAGACACACCCCTGCATTTTGGAGCAGAAAATGAGACTGCATCCCTGTCCCTCATGGCCACATTGTGAGCAGTTAGATCAAATTGTTTTCAAGTAAATGTGTCCCAAAGTCTGAAAATCTGTGTAACTTTAACAATTGTCTCCACTGAAACACACGTTTTCTGCAGTTAAGTAAACATTTCTATGGTTTTATTTGTGTATAACTGTTCAAAGCTGTGTTAGCTTGTCTTGTACTGGCTAACATCTTTGAGTTATGCTCAAAATTACCCAGAATTTCACTAACAAATCATTTGGTTCATTTTTTTGTTAGTGTCATGACTCGTTTAGTAAAGATAAAATGGAATGTTCAATCACTTGTTTTAATAAAATAGACAGAATTAAAGCATAAGGTTCCAAAAGGAAAATGATTTTAGTCTGAAGTCCAATTCAGTTCAAAGACTTTTAGAACGATCCATATAACTCATCTAAACATCTTGGTATTGGTCCGTGTCTTAGGCTAACCACACATGAGGCTATTGTAAACAAGTAGTGAAACCAAATGATAGGCTCCAATTTAGGACTACATAAAGGAAATGAAGGATGTACTACTACTTGGTCCAGAAGCCTCTAAACAACTCAAACCAACTCCAGTTACTCCAGAGTTCTCTTTAGAATGAGATGGTTTGACCACATTAGCCTTGTTTTATGAATTGAACTCTGTTACAATTTGGTATGTGCTCATAAAGTGCAGCCTTATCCCTGCATAGAATTCTGAAAATAGCAGCAGGGAGCAAAGCTTTGTCCTTCAGAGTGCTTTGTTGTGCAGTGTTCTTTTTAGTGTGTGTGACTCAGGTTCAATCACACAAAATCTATCTGTTTAGTCAGAGCTAAGTGCCATATTTACTCACTTTATCATTATTATTTCCTATTTAGGGCACTGTTTGTGTTTGAGAGTGTTCATGTTTATTATTCCATAGTAGCCAGTCTATTACAGTAGTACATTATATGGAGCCCAATGTATAACATTATACTGAGCGGACAGCATGGTCACTAAACAAAAAGGCTTAGTGGTACGTCTCAGGATTAGATTCCGACTAATTAAAGCATCCTCCAACAGTAAATCCTCATCCAGGTAATCAGGGACTATGGTAATTGGTTAAGTGAATTAAAAAGGGGCTCTAATGGGGGCATTCCACCTCCAAAAACTATGGTCGAGGTCCTGCATATCTGTGTCCAAGAGCCATTGTCAAATAGATTTGATGTGTGTAAGTGTGTTCACAGTTCACAGCAACGGGAACATGGCCACTGTTTCTATTCCTGTCATGGACAGCTGACACAGGATTGTGGGAGTGCCTCGTATGACTTTAGTCAGCAGGTAAACCAGCTCTGTGAGTGGGCACTCAAATAATGGCTTAATGTGGTGAAGCAACAGAGAGAAGAAGATGTTGTTGAAATGTTTCCTCTTTTTTGCACATATCCGACTGCCTATTACAGGAAATGGACCTTCTGTAATTTGATCTGGCTTGAATTCAAGCCAGTAGCATGCATGGGTTATTTCCAGGCATTATATGATTACAGCCAGAGCTGAGAGACACATTTGGATGCATGCCTAACAGTTTCTTGTTCGTGTATGTCGCTGCTTTGAAAAATTCTGGCCCTCTAACCTAAGATCAGAGATACTGATGATGAAACACAACAGAGAATTTTTTTTCCCCAACATTGATTGTAAGGACCTCTAGTGGTCAGAAATACATCACACATCAAGCGCGTGTGAGATAATCTAATGCTTAAAAATGTCTTACTGCATTTTACTGTTCTTTAAAGGCCCATATCCTACATTTGTCGTGTATTTTTTCTTGTTGTTGTTCCTAAAACCCACTTATGACATTTGCCTTGATTAATTTACCAAAAACAGTAAATAATTTTTACAGGACCATTTTCCTGTAAAATTCCTTAGAATTAAATAGACTGTTTTTTTATTAATGTGGCTGATGTGACTGATATATGTACATTGACTCTGTTCTAATTGGCTGCTCTGTATCATGCCTTCAGTGTGAATGGGTGGGGATAAACTGATGAAGGCTGAATATGCAGATATATGGAAATATGTTAGTTTTACGGACCTTGTTAAAAATAAGGAGCTCAAAAATGAGACATTTTAGTAGTTTAGTTACCCTTTATGGACTGTATGGACTGGGGACTGAACAGTCTTTTTGAAACTTTTACAGTATTCCATGATATGGGCCGTTACAGGTGTGCATATGACAAGACTTCTCTTGTGGTGAAGGATCAGTATAATATTTATTAGGAGGCCAAAATAGTGCCACGGAATAAAAATAATAATGTTAGATAAATGTTTTGGGTTTAAGTAGGTCATAAACACACGAAGAGTATGTTTATGATTTATTTAAACCCATTAACCACAGCATTAATTGAACTAGTAATAAGCTATATATATAGTATATGATTTACAGGGTACCTTTTATTGAAAGTTGCTGTCCCAAACCCTAACCCTAATTTAAACTCGTTAAATTTATTATAAATATTATGATTTAAACTTTTTTTTTAAAAAAATGCTATTCCAAGTTTTTATGTCACTAATGAAACACAAAGAGTTTTAGTCCATACTACACAGAGCCTTTTTTTAGCCACACCCCTGCATATTATATTTTCTGTATATTTATTTTCTGTAATTATGTAAACTTTTTGTGTTTTAATAAAAAAAAAATATGTGTACGCAGCTGTGTCAGTTAGTCATGCACTGGCTAGCATTTTTTTTTATTTTAGTATTTTGCCAATACCGAAACATTTGTTTAAGTTTGGACAGTGTTATGAATGTTTCGGTAGTGCCGAAATGGAATGTTCAATCACTTATTTTAATAAAATAAACATAATTAAGGTACAGGGTCACTCAAAGCATGTCTTGCATGTGCCTGTGTACTGTCTAATGCATGCAGGTGACAGACGCCAGCTTGTCCACTAAGTCTTTGTTCCTGTTATTACGTCACATTATCTGACAGCTCCACACGACAGCACTGTAAACAAGAGGATGATGACAGAGTATGATATAATCCATAATTTGATAAACACACCAGATTGACAGTGAAATCTAAGATGTCAAACTACAACCTTCATAGCAGCAATGTGTAAAATATTGTACTCATGAGTACTTCTTAAAATATTTGCTTCACGTCTGCATTTAGACCAATTAAACAAACCTTTACCAGGTAAAAAGGGGAGCAGATGTCACTGAAGCTCATTTGATTGGTGAGGAGCGTAAGCCTGTGATTCTTACTTGGCTCCTCCCACATGAGGTGACAGGATTAAAGGAATAATTTGAGCCTGATTAGTATTTCGCTGGACTGTGCAAAATGTCGCAGGAGAGGAAAACGCAAACATGCAAGTAGATTCGGACATACTACCGTAAGTAAACTGAAAATATTTTTACAACTTTGCAATAGATTTTGATCTCATCTGTTCTGAAACGTTTTAGCCTTCTTTAAACACCAGCACAAAAAACTAAAAAGCCATTGTGAGCTTTATTACTGTGGTTGTCTGTGCTGCATACAGCTTTTCATGTTTGTGTTCAAAAAGACTTTTCAGGACTTTATCTTAGATTGTTTACATATGTGTGCAGGTTTTGCCTCTTGTGTGCACCTCTTTCTATGAACAATTGGGCTTAGGTCTATCACCAAAGCTGGCAAGACTTTCAAAGCTTTGAAATTTGCTTTAGCCTGTGGCTACGCTCTTAATATATGGGGTAAACTGAGTCCCATCATAGGAGCATGTGGGTGTTGAAAAGGGGTCAGTGTGAGCAGAAACAGGACAGCATAAGTCTTAGACTGGTCTTTAGGAGCTTACTGTGCTGAACAGATGCACCTGGGGGCATGGAACAGCAAGCTTGGTGGACTTAAACTGCAGCCATACCCTAAATAAGACACCTGCTGTTGTTATTAGGTCTATTACTGGCACAGTAGTCATAGGCCAGACTGCCTTAACATGATCAAAACAATGCGAAGGCCTAGGTTACGTGGCTAGTTAACGCACGTTGGCAGCATATGTGACATCTGTGCTGATTATCTTTGTTATGGAGCAATACTGGAACATGTTGGTCAGTTTTGGCTGTTTTGTGATAATCAACTTATGCACTGATGTTTTATACCCATCTAAACCATCAATGTACTGTTGCAATGTACTGTACAAAATAGTAAATGTGATTTTTTTTTTTTTAATTTTACATGATTTGCTTTTAACATTACATAATAGTTGATGGTTTTGTGGTAATAGTGTTTCTGTAAAATACAATGTATAAAAAATTGTACAGATCATGATAATTTGAGATTAGAATTATAGAATTCTCTCTGCAGTTCTGACATTAAGAGTCAAAAATGTCTCTTTCAAAATAGCAACAAAATAGCACAATTTAATAGGTGAGATGTCAACAAAGTAATTTAGAGTAGTTTGATGTGAACTTACTGTTTTATAGTGGTGATGATAGGAACCAGAGGTCACAATGTCAGCACTGCATACATAGCCATTTATTTACTATACAAAATCACAAGTAAACTTACAAATATGTTTGGTGTTTTTAAATGTAGTGTTGATAATGGTAAAACATTGATAAATCTGAAATAAGAAGGCCTCTTTGGCTACTATTTTGCCTTATAAGGCCCTGCACACACCTCTACATCACAAATGAATTTTACAAATATGCTTTTGGCTAAAAACTACTTTGAAACAATGTCTCAGGAGCCAGGGAGCATATTCTTAGCCATCGAATGTAATAACTTTTTGTGAGGTAGCTTTTAGAGGCATTAAATGCTTCGGATGTCACCACCACTGTGAACAATTCTGACTTGGCAAGTTTCTCTAGTACAGAGCATTTCACATCAAAACATTCAAAAAACTTTTTTTTACATCTTAACAATTTAATAATGCAAAATAATGCAAAACCAGCTACTAATCTAAAAAATAAAATATTGTTCAACAAATTATGATGCCAAGTACTTCGCTACACTGTATTTAAATGTTGTATCCATTTCTTTATTCCTTAAAACATTTTGGCTAGACATCAACTTTTGCCATACATGGATGTTCAGAGCTTACATTTAGAGTCTATAAGAGGCAAATGAAAAAGGTTTTAAGTAATTAGCTCTGTTTGCAGAAGTGCTCATCAGGGTTACTGCTCATTAGAGTCACATTGACATCACAGTTTGGGACAGTTCTTGACTAAGTGCAATCTCATAAGTTGACTTTGTATTAATCGTAACCCTATTGTCTTATTGGCATGTAGGTTTGATTTAAGGAGAAGATGGTGCTCTCCCTGGTGCTCTCCTCCTCAGCTCAATATGTTCAATCTGATGAGCAACTGTTGCAACTGGGTCTCCAAGCTCCAGCAGCCCCTGAGGTACAAGCCATCAGAATCTAATCAGACTCTCAGAGCACTCAGTGTTTTAGACTTGTTGGTCTTGAGTTAATAGGAAAGACATTTATTAAGCATGTGAATAGACTGAAAGCAATAGAAACGTTGGACAGGTAATACGCACTCTTTATGTTTCTTCAGGAAGGTTACAGTGCTCGTGGTTGGTCTTGACAAGGCTGGAAAAACATCATGCGTCAGAGGAATGTTGAGAGGTAAGCACCTGCTACACAATGACATAGGAAAATCTTGCATATTCAGATCTGAAAATGATGAAGGACTCATAAATACTTATCAGTTTCCCATTTCGAACCTTTATGAAGTTAAAGCTATGGTATTTTATATGTCTGACTTTTCTAGCTCCCATGGGAGAAGTAGGCCCTACCCATGGATGTGTCCGCAATGAGTTGAGGGTGGAGAACTTCCTGGTGAATCTGCTGGACATGGGTGGAGGTCCTGAGGTTCGAGGCTCTTGGAGAGAATACTATGGCGAGGCCCATGGAATCATTTTTGTGGTGGACTCCAGTGACAGACAGAGAATGAAAGAGGTCAAAGAGCTCCTCACAGACATGCTGAGGCAGCCCAGAGTCGCTGGAAAGCCTCTATTAGTGTAAGCAATCATTCTGCTAATCTTTATGTGATCAAATGCAGTTAATTTACTTTTCAAAACTGCTTATTAAATATCAGTGGTTTAATATGACATCACTTTTTGATACTATGTGTAAACCAAGGCATTTCTACTCTCCGTTTCTGTTTACAGTTTAGCCAATAAACAGGATAAAATGAATGCCTTGCTGGGAAGTGAACTGATTGAGGTTCTGTCCCTGGAGAAGCTGGTCAATCAGAGCCGGTCTCTGTGCCAAATTGTGAGTACCACAATACAATGTACAAAAATATGAGGCCTGTAATATTCCAAATGAAACTTAAGTTAAAAATTCGTTTTAATGCAACTTTGCCATAATGAAACCAGATCTTTTAAAATTGTTTTTCCATTTTAGTTTCATGAATAACTGCATGAATAGATGTCTGAATAATAAAGGTTCTTCCTGATGAAGGAGCCATGCTCAGCCTTAATGGACCTGCGTCGATGGTCAGACAGGAAGACTCTGCGTGGGCTCCGGTGGCTCCTGCGGGCCGTGTGCCTGGACTACCCAGAACTCTGTGCTCGGATAGTGAGAGATGGGAGAAAGCCACTAGGACCAGAGGAGAGAGAGAGGAGAGGGAAAGTGAAGAAAAACAAAGATGAAAGGTGTGAGTCTCTTTTATGTACACAGATGATCAGTGAAATGTGAGGTGGGCTTAAAATGACTGTTGGAGTAATGATCAACATTTGTATCTGAAGGATAAGAGCCAGTAAAACAGATATGCGCCAAGTACAGGACCCCCTGGAGAAGGAAAGGAAAAGTGGGAGCTCTCTACATCCAATCAGAGACATCCTTAAAAAGGTAAAATAAAATTATTATGTGTACATTATTGCGCGAAAGTTCTATGCAGCCACAAAAATGTTTGAAACTGTACCTCAGCTGTAAATGTGTTTGTACATATAAAAAACTGTGACTGTGAAAATATACAAATAAGCATAAGTATTGTATGTTTTCGAAAAGCCATTAATATCATGGTTAGAAGACTACAGTTTTTGTTGTTGGATTTGTTTAATTCCATCAGCAGCACACCTGGTTTCATTTAATGTAGGATTGATTAGCTGAGCTAGGTATCAGATAATAACAGTAAATACTGGGCTTCCTTGAGTAAGGGTTTGAAATAGTTAAGCACTGACACACATACAATGTATTGTTTATTTGTGTATTTGTATTTATTTTTGTGCTAATGCTTTTAGAATAAATAAACAGTAAGTGCTTACTGTCCATGTAAATAGCTTTCTTATTTTCTGAGATGGCCTAGAAATGCACAGTACTATATATACACTTACTGGCCACTTTATTAGGTACACCTCATTGTATCTACACTCTTGGTCCATTTTATCACTTACCATATAGGTGCACTTTGTAGTTCTACAATTACAGATTTTAGTCCATCTGTTTCTCTGCATAATCTGTACTTTACCCACTTTAATCTGTTCATCAATGGTCAGGACCACCACAGGGCAGATATTATTTGAGTGGTGTATTATTCTCAACACTAGCATGGTGGTGGTATGTCAGTGGGTGTTGTGTTGTTACAAGTGGATCAGACACAGCAGTTTTTAACATTATGTCCACTTACTGTCCACTCTTATTAGACTTACCTACCCTGTTTGTCCACCATGCTCATCTGCTGCTGCACAGTTTGTGTTAGTCATCGTCTAGTCCTTCATCAGTGGAATTTTCTGGCCACAAAATGCTGTTGGCTAGATATTTTTCTTTGGTGGGTTACTAGCATGTCAGTGCCATTGCAGTGCTGAGACTGATTCACCACCCAAATAATACCTGCTCCTTAGTGGTCCTGTGGGGGTCCTGACCATTGATCAACAGGGTAAAGAAACAACACAGAAATTATGCAGAGAAACAGATGGACTACAATCTGTAATTGTAGAACTAAAAATGCACGTTTATGGTCAGTAGAGCTTATGAAATGGACACTGAGTGTAGATAAAGTGGCCAGTAAGTGTACATATGCTTTGATTTATGTTGCTAGACACAAGCAATTTCCAATTTCCAAACTCCACTTTTTGAGTGTTCATAATTCACATTATTTGGACTAAATTAGAAGATGCAATCTGATTCCAGGATAACTCCTTTACAAAGAAACTGAAGAAAAAGAAAAAGGTGAAGGTTAAAATGAAAAGGAGTAGTGTGAAAAGAGAAGGCAAGAATGAGGACGAAGAGGAAGTACAAGAGGAAGAGGAAGGAAATGAAGCAGAGCAAGACCAGAATGGTCAAAAAGAGAAAGCCAGTAGTGCCCTGTTGCCACGGAGACGCGGGAAGCTGAAACGTAAAGCAAAAGTGAAGGAGGAGACGTTGGATCAAGCAGAATCGCTGGAAAATGAAGACACCAAACCCACCAAAGGTATTCTGTCCAGCTGTGAACTAGTAAAGTAGATGGTTGGTTGCATGAAATCATACCTTCATTGTGAGGCCCTCTTGTCACAGGGAAAGGAGAAAAGAAAAAAAAGAAAAAAGTGGTAAAAGGAAAAAGAAAGAACAAGATAAATACAGAGGGGATACCAGCAGCTTACACACAGCCAGCTGACCTGTCTGCCACTTTCGGTGAGTCTCTCTTGATCCTCAGTGCCTGGGATAAAAGCTTAATGCTGTCTGATCAGGGCTGCACATAGGACAAACTAGATGTCAAAACAAATCACTGCAATAGAAACCAAAAAGTGATACTGTCCTGGGTGGGCGGCCCTGATCTAGAAGATTCAGTAGATTAAATCATTTCATTCGCCTGTTTTCTGATAGAGCTTTACAGAAAAGCAATTTTGGCTCTAAAAGCCCGACAGGATCAGGATTTGGTGCCAGAGCAGTGAGCAGACTGGACTGTGAGGGCAGCACAAGATGACACAGCGCTAAGATGTCTGCAGAGACGTCTGCACCACCACAGCTTCACACCAAGCTGTATTCAACTTCTATGGATTTCAGCATAAACACTCATCTGACTCATGGTTTTTTGTATAGGTTGTATTGGATGATCTGGATGAGAGAAAAAAGGAGGCATTTGGCAAGGACCAGTAAAACTGTGTTGCAGTATATGTGGAGTGCTTCTGATTGAGGCCATTAAGACAGTATATGAGAAGAAATTCATGTACTTTCACTGATGACTTTTGTTTTCAGTCAGATTCATTCAGTGAATTTGTAAAAGTGAAACGTTGCCACTTTTCAAAATTGAGCTGTTTTCATAGAAGACCCTTCCAGTGCATCACAAGCTGTAATGCTGTAGTGTCATATTCTGTGGAATATGCTTTTTTAATTACCAAAAAATTCATGTTGACATTCATATGATGAATAATGAATACTGTTATGATTTTATAAGTTGGTGCAGTGTTCCTAATTTCATTTAATAAGCACATATAATCACTCACTTACTGATTGTTTATTTACTGTTATAGTTCTAGTGATTTTAACATAGGTAAATATGTATATATTCATGGCCTAGAGGCCTTAATATGAACATACCTATTCTACTTGAAAATGTTTAATGTGGTTTCTGGTGTAAATGAGCTTTTTTATAAATTAATTTCTTCATCATTAAAACACTGGTTTTGTAGATTTTGATGAAATAGAAAATGTTCCTTGACAAGTTACATAGAAGATAAGTTCCCTGATCTGATTTTTCATCATGATTGTGTGCCATCATTAACCCAAGTTTTTTTTCATTGCTCATAGTGGTAGTGTAAAGAAAATAATTTGAGGTTTAAAAAATGTGCTTTGAGTTCATTTAAATAAATGTGAATGAAAAAAAATATATTGTTAATGATCCTTAAAATATGAACATATATAGAATAGAGGAGCCTAAACCATTCCCAAGTAAAAGTGCTTTTTTAATTACATACTTTAATCGTTTGACAGCCCTAATATGTGACGAAACACTTTATAAACACTGTCCAGCCACATTAAGTACTCATCATTGTATCTACACTCATAGTTCATTTTATCAGCTACGCTTACTATATATATTTCTGTAATTACAGATTGTAGTTCATCTGATTCTCTACATACTTTGTTAGCCTCCTTTTACTCTGTTCATCAGTGGTGGCAGTGTCCTCTGACCACTGATGAAGGACTAGAGGATGACCAATACAAACTGTGCAGCAACACAAGAGCTATTGTCTCTGACTTTACATCCACAAGGTGGAGCAACAAGGTGGGAGTGCCCAATAGAGTGAACAGTTAGTGGACACATTGTTTAAAAACTCTAGCACTGCTGTGCCTGATCCACACATACCAGCCCAACACACACTAACATGCCATTCATCACAACACACACCTTTATATGATCAGTCCAGTGAAGCCATTTGACCTTGTTTACTTAGTCTTTAAGGAACTTGCTTTGAGTGACAAATCATATCAGGAAATGTTTTACACTGTTCCTAATTAACTGAAGTCATCCTAGCAAAACAACTTGAGTAAGAGTAAAAAGTATCAAGTAAAAAAACTCAGGAACTGAGATCCTTAAACTGCTGTCATCTATCAGCATAGAGACGTTGGTGATACTCTTTTCTTCGGTATAAAAAAGGTAAGCCTGAAGCAACCAGGGTGCTGAACTAACAGAGTAGAATGAACACTAAGTAGAAACTAAATTTACACAACTAAAATAGAAACTAAAAGTAAATTTATTGGAAGTAAATTGAAGAAAAAAGTACTTTCATTTCTTCACAAATATATGATAGTGCTAACATCATACAAGTTTTATCACCATCACTTATCAGAAAAGTACAAATCCATCATAATACTTTTTCGAGTATGTCATAAATAAGTCAGAACAGTTGAACAACTGCATGTTTAACTACAAAGAGAATCTAATTATGCCTAATTATTTGTATTTAATGCAGCACATTGCAGGAAGCATTGAATTAAAAATACTGTATTTATAGTTTTCATAGTCTTGTTTAAGCCTATGTGGCAGTCTTGGTTCTTTTGTCTATTCCAACTTATCCAGCCTCAGATAAACTAAATATCGTGATGCATATCGTGTATCATGAAAATGTCTTGAAGTATCGTAATCTTTTTTATTTGCCATATCTCCCACCCCTACAGTAATGCCTTTCCTTTAGCTAAATTGCTGTGCTCTTCCAAAATTATAAATGCTGGCCTCAGAATTAACTTTTAAGTTTACTACCAACCAGAATGGAAAAAGTGCGAGCCAAACACAAAGTGTTGCTCTGTTTCAGGCGGGGTTTTCTTTTCAGACTTCAAACATTTCTCATTGTCAGTTGAGTGAATTTAAATATGTGTGCAACAGCGCCCCCTGGAGGCGGATTTGGAGCCCCGTAACGGGATGGCATGTCGCCATGTTTGAATTTTCACTCCCCTCCCCCTCAGCATCCTCAGCAGGACACCGAGGAGAGAGAGAGAGGTGGGGGGAGACAGCGGATGGTAGTCGGAACTGGGACTTTCAGGCATTCCTGACCGAAGATGGCCTCGCCAAGGACAGTAACCATCGTGGCTCTTTCTTTTGCGCTCGGCCTCTTTTTTGTTTTCATGGGAACGATTAAACTGACACCGAGACTGAGTAAAGATGCCTACAGTGAGATGGTGAGTGAGTGAGTGAGTGTGTGTGTGTGTGTGTGTGTGGTCTTGGTTTAGGGGGCTCAAAGGAAACCCACCGCTGTACCTGGAGATCAGAGGCTTTGTTCCAGACATGAATGCGCTTATCATTGCGTAGCTATTATGTATCTGAAAGGATATGGTGTTTCTTTTCTCTTATCGGACTACTTTATATGACATTACACGCCTGTTCTGTTGGTAATGGATAATCATTTTCATTCATCTTTATCACTGGCTAGCTGTCAGTACTGAAACCGCTAGCTAGCTAACTAACTAGCCACCTAATGGGGATGCCCGAATATTTAACTAGCTAGCATGGGAAAAGGGGAAAGGAATAGATATAGATTTGACTACAGACTAACTGTAGACTGTCCAGTGCAGCTCTCATCATTACCTTATATGGTGTGAAGTCGTATAAGATATAATAAACAACATTATTTGATTAGATCATTGCTAGGCCTACTCTTCATCTACTAGCACCATCTTAAAATCCAAATTCTTTTCAGTACGGCGACCATCAACATTAGTTTATCGTAGTACCTTATTCTTATAGATATTGTGGTACTGTTTTATTAAAACCTGGCTGTGTCCCTCAGTAACCATGTATAGTTTTGTGCCACGCTGTCTTGTAGCAATGGCGGCGCTTTCGAGCACATTCTGTGGTGCACCTGCTGATGTTGGTGCAGAGCAGATGTAGCATCAGAGTCCGTCAGATATCACTAGTATACAGGAGTAAAATTTAATGTTTTGGAACAATCTAACATGTTACATAGACTTATTAGAGATGCACTGAAATGGACACTGTTTACCATAAAGGTTAGTTATACGTGATGAGGATGATGTGGTTAAGTTCATGTTTATCTAAAGAGGAATCTGTTTCAGTATTGATGTAGGAAAAGTGTTACTCACCTCTAGCTATAAGTAGCACTTTTTTATTGTTTATTGTAACATTACAATATGCATATTGTGTATTGTAACACATTGAAGTGTTGTGTTACAGACCAGGGACTGTATTCATGAAGGTCCTCAGAAGAGGAGTGCTGATCTAGTATGTGTTCCTGTCAGCAAGGTCACAAGAGAGTAATTTGAGCCGAGATCAGCTCCTGCTTTGAGAGGCTTCATGAATAAGGGCCCTGGAGGCATTTTCTGCTGTTGTTATTATTAAACTCAATGTTTGCGCTCACTTTTCAGAAAAGGGCATATAAGAGTTATGCTAAGGCCCTGCCTGGCTTGAAGAAGATGGGCATCACCTCAGTGCTTCTCCGCAAAATCATTGGTACTCTTGAAGTGGGATGTGGAGTGGTTCTGACACTCGTACCAGGGAAACCAAAGGACGTAGCCAACTTCCTGCTGCTGCTGGTCATGCTAGCTGTGCTCTTCTTCCACCAACTGGTTGGAGATCCTCTGAAACGCTATGCCCATGCCCTGGTCTTTGGCATTCTCCTGACCTGCCGACTCCTGATCGCACGCCAGAGCGAGGACCGGCCTGAGAGAGAGGAAAGAAGAGAGGAGCAGATCAATGCCCAGGAAAAGAATAAAGTCAAAGTTTCGTAGCTCCTTCATTTATGACTGCAGTAGCTGCAAGAAGAGGCATGAACGTTTTCTGATTAGCAGATACAGAGATACAAAAAAGACAGTAGCCACAAAAATGATTTCCATCCTTCATCCACACACAGGCCATCCCAGATTATGCCTCCTGATTTTAGCCTTCTGTTTAAAAACAACCATGTCCTGCACACTAACCCTATCAGTAAATAATCTCTACTGTTTTGAGCTCAGCTCAGCAGCAGATCAGACTCCTATTGCCCTTGTTAGCTCTGCTCTCATTTTTTTATGCTTACCGTTTGTTTAACTGTGACCTGTGAAATGCCATCATTAATGTGACATTGTAGTATCAGCTTTGGTTAGATGCTGATTATTATTGATCCTTTAAAGACATGTTGTGATTTCTGTTTTCAGCACCCTAGACTGATAATTGTTCATAAACTGTAAAATGCTTCGTTTGAAAATGGAAAGAAAGTCACATCTTGGAAGACACTGGTCATGCTTGACTTCTGCTGTTTTTTTTTCCAGTATCATACAGTTAGATGCCTTGTAGTCCATCAAACAGTTTCAGTGCATGATAATCCAGTGGTTACTCCAATGCAGATGAACCACTAATTGATGAAAATGTAATCTTGTTTGTTCATCTCCCCATGATATGTTTCATTTTTGTATAAGATATGCTGTTTTGTCTTTGTTAATACAGGATGTTTTTATTATTGCTATTATTATTATTATTTTTTTTATAAAAGAGGCGGTTTCACCAGTGCTGCCTCTGTCTTTCTTTTATCACATTTGATTTATTAGTTGTCACTTGTAAGAGATTGTCCAATAAAGATTTCCTGACCCATAAGAATATGTTTCATTGTGATCTTGCTTTTGATATCTACTACTTATGAGTAGAAAGGAAAAGCAAATTGAGACCTTTATTAAATGGGAATTTCTCAGATCTTTCAAAAATTCTGCATAATTAAATGGTTAAGATGTAAACAAAGTCATTCGGAGTGGTTTGATGTGAAATGCTCAGTTCTAGAGAAACTTACAGAGACAGAATTATTCTGAAGAGTCGTCTCAAAGTCCCCTCACAGAAAGTTGTTACATGAAATTGTTTGCTTGGTGCTTGAAACATTGTTTTATGTTTGTTTTGAGAGAGGGTTTTGGCCTAAAACATCGTTTTAAAAATTACATTCATGGTGGAGAGGTGCATATGTAGAGGGGTGATGCACGGCAAAATTGTTTTTCCACTATCAACATTACATATAAAAAGTTAAAAGATGCATGTAGGTTCACTGGTTATTTCGGATGGTAAATAGAATGGCTGTATTTGTGCTGTAGATATTGTGACGCCTGGTTCCTATCACCACCACCACTGTTAAGAACATCTGAGTGGAAGTTTGTCAGAATGGAGCATTTCACATAAAACCACTTGACTTTGTTAACATCTCAAAGATTGAATTAGGCAGAAATCGGTGGAATTCCCCTTGAATGCATGATTCCACTTTGTTTTTATTTAGTTGTGATAAAAGACAAATGATAGTAAAATAGAAATTGGAAATGTCCATTTTGTTTTTGTTTATTATAGTTGTTGGGATATTAATTATTGCAAGTTCATTGAATGGTAAGTTTCTTCTTATTATTATTATTATTATTACTATTATTATTATTATAACAATAAGAAATTAATGTCCAGCTTGTAATCTGAAAAAAAAATGTCCAAGGACAAACAATTAAACCAACTGACCCCAACAGGCTTCTGGGGGAATAAATACTAGAAATGTGGATCAAATTTCAAAGCATAACTATTGAGCGTTGAGATTCGACTTACGTTTTGGTCAGGAGAGAAAATAAGAGCTGGAAACATCTTACCCTGTCGGGGCTCCTTCCCCCTAGTTACCCAACGTATACTGTATTCTTTAGAAATAGATTGACATTCAGTTTTTCCTGACGAGTTTATTTTTCGTTGAGCTCTCACTGTATTTGACTTTACTAATCGCAAAAAAAAAATCAGCGTTAGAAATGAAAATAATTTAAGAAGAATGCTGCAGTATAGAAACTCTACTGTAGTGGTCACATGCTAATCAGGCTGCTGTAATAAACCGATTTGGCCACAGGGTGGCGCACTGCGGGACAACAAAGGGCCCTAACGCGCATGTCCAAACGGTCGCGCGGATGATTCAAGTTTTATTTGAATCGCTTTTGGGTGTGAAGCAAAACACCAGAACAACGTCACATATGAGAGAATTATGTAGCGCTAATGATGGCGAATACATTTGACCTGTCCAGGGTGGCTTTGGACTCGTCCAGAGATTTCTCTGGCTCTGGTTCGAGCAACAGGAGTTTACGAGTGGCGGAGAATGTGAAGAAGAAAGGCGAGACAAACCCGTTTCGGTCTGCGCTGAGTTATCTCTCCCAGGGTAAGAGAGCTAAAGGGGGCTAGCCGTGGCTACTCAGATAGTTAACTAGCTAGAATAAGAAAGGGTGTAAACAAAATCACAATTAATCCGACTGCCTATGATGTGTCTGTTAGCGAACAAGTTAACTAGCTAATTAGTTAACTAGGGACAAAATTGATTTTTATACGGGGAACAATGTAGCTAGCTAGCTAACGTTGGTTAGCCTAGCTTGCCTGGTTTTAATCTGATTTTGTTGCTGGTAAACAGCTAACTAAGTACGAATGGCATTTATTTAAATGCTAAGCGAGTAACTGAGTTAACTTATTTCATGGGAGTAGAGTGGATGGATTGGTCTTATGTCCCGTGAAGTAACCCAGTGGTCCCAGCTCTGGCCTAGGAGAACCACTCCCTTGGATGTTTTGGTGTTTTCCTCTTACAACACAGTTGATCTAGCTTATCGGCGAATTAACAACTCTTTCTTTAGTCGAGTTTGTTAGAGCAGGGAAGCCCTAAAAAGTGCAGGGCAGTGGTATTCAGAGACCAGGGTTGGGAACCACTGTTGCAGACTATTGCATACAGTTGTCTGTAAAACTCACATGCGCAACAAACATTTATCGAGTAGGTTCCGTAGGAAACTCTTGAAGTGTATTAAGGTTCATTTATAGCTGCACGGGCAGTCAATATTATGATCACAAGTTTTAATCTTGACTGCCACAGGTGACTGCACGTGACTTGTGCGCATGAGCAATACGACAAACACCACCACCTTTCTGTAATGACAAACCATGACAATGACAAGCCCTCATATAAGTTTGGTTAAATGCTCATCACCAAGTAAAGTTGTGAGTCCTCAGTAGCTTTTTCTGTTTGCGTTCTCCAGTGCAGGAAGGCACTACTGTAAAAGGCAATGATGAACTGGAGAGGAACCTGGTGGTGGTGGAGACCATTGCCCTTGGTCGAGGTCTCCCTCCAGAGGCTGTCTCATTGCTTTTGGACTTGGCATTAAGTCTCCGTGCAGGTAAGGTTGTTCTGGTGTAGTGCTAATTTCCAACCATTTTCATTTATATCTGAAACCCTTAATTATTATTAAGAACCTAGAGCAATTAAGCAACTTCTGGACATTTATACCATCTTTTTGGGGATAATAAAGTCTAATAGAGATGTTTGCAACTTTGTCTGAGACCTGTTCTCTTCATTGTTTAGGCAGTGTGACCTGTTCACGGGTTCTGAAGTTTCTGATACCTGCTTCAGTAGTGCCTCAGGAGGCCGTTGTAAGAGGAGTGTCTTGGCTGTGCGTGGGAAAAATGCCAATGAATGCTCAGGTACAAAACTACCGAGGTATCTTGTCAGTCATATATGTAGATGGTACTTATTTTTCATCAAACTTGCTCATGTTGCAAATTTCTTTTTAAGGTTCTGTTCCTTCGCTGGGTTCTCACTGTTTTTGACCTTATTGATTGCAAAGACCACTTGAGAGCCATCTATGGTTTTATTTTCAGCTTTGTGACTGAAGAGAATCTAGTGAGTTCAGTTTTGTCTTATGTACGTTATATAACTTATTGATGAAATAATTTATGCATGCTGCATATACTATGTTATTGCAGTTTCATTTGAGTTTTTTCAACACATGCTCAAACTAATTACTTTTCATTTCAGTGCCCTTTCATCTGCCACTTATTGTATCTTTTAACAATGAGGGAGCATGGTAAGTTTTCCATTTCATGAATAAAATATAAAGCGTATCTTCCCCGTAAATGCTCGTTTTTTGTATATAAAACAATGAAATACTGATTGTACTGTTTTTCACAGTCCAGCCATACAGAGTGAGAAAACTGTTGGATATTCAGGCAAAAATGGTAAAGTCACTGATTTTTCCACATCCACTGTGAATTCTGTTTTATAGTACTTTATAATGTTCATAATATTTATTTTAGATATTTGTACTACTACTACTGTTACTATTAGTACTAATAATACTACTAATAATGAAATATTTGTTTGGTATTTGATTTCAATTCGATTTGTATGCTGATTTTTACATTATTTTGACGACACCATGTGTTCTTTGCTCTGTTTCTAATAGGGCAGACAGCCATATCTGATGCAGCTGCTGGCCTTATACAAAGTCTTTCGACCAGAGCTTGTGTCCCTCTCAATGCCTACAAGAATGAGGGTGAGTGCATGTGTTTTAAAGACCTCATCAAGCACTTTATCAGGAACACTTGGCTATTACTGGGTAGGGCCTCCCTTTGCTCTAGAAACAGCCTCCTGTTTCCAAGATGTTGGAAACATTCTTTTGAGATTCTGTTCCATATTGACATAATTGCATCATGCAATTCCTGTTGATTTTTCAGATGCACTTTCATGCTGTGAATCTCCCATTTTACCTCATCCTAAAGTTGTTCTATTGGATTCAGATCTGATGACTTGGAATGCCACTGCAGAACACTGAACTCATTGTCATGTTCATGAAACCAGTTTGAGACAACTTTTGCTTTGTGATTTGGTGCATTATCATGCTGGCAGTAGGCCTTAGAAGATGGGTGAATTGTGGCCATAAAGGGATGCACATGGTTAGCAACAATATTTGAGTAGGCTATGGCATTCAAGCGATGATTGATTCGTATTTACAGGCCCAAAGTGTGCCAAGAATACATTTCTCATACCACCACCTCCACCAGCCTGGACTGTTGACATAATGCAGGTTCTGTCTATGGATTTATGCTGTTGGCACCAAATTAAGACCCTGCTGTCAGTGTATCTCAGCAGAAATCAAGATTCATCAAACCATGCTGTGTTTTTCAGTCTTCACCTGTCCAGGTTTTGTGAGTCTGCAGTAGGCTGGGCGATATCTAAAAATAATTGGCATGATATTTTCTAGCTAAAAACTCATGATTATCAATAATATTGCCCTGAACCCCCACTCCCTAAGCAAATACACATGGTCGGCTTCTTTCACCTAGTTTTAATTGTATTTTTAGTTTATATGCTTTTTTTGAGCACTGTGTTAATTAAAATCTTTAATAAAACCACTTATCGAATAGTATAATATTGAGTAACCCAGTAACATTTGGAAACTACTTCACTTGTCGTCACAATAGACGTTACGTGTTCATGAGCTTTTTTCTGGTTGAAGATTTCTTCAGTATTTTGGCGACTTGCATGCTAATAGGGCTCCCTGCTGTAGAAACTTCAGACTGCAAGGGGTTTTTAGAGGCATGGCCATGCGCTTTCCACATTAAAACCTAGGCGTTTTCCATTGATGCGGTGGAGTTTCATAATTCAGCTAACCACCAGCCTACTTAAGATGTTTCTTCATGCCACAAGCAGTAGCCTCCAGGTTAGTGCTAATTTACCTGCTCTAGAGTAAAATCTAGTCTATTATGTATTGCAGTGAGTCACTTTGAGACAAGCGGTGCGGTAAACTAGAATTACAGCGCGTAGCAGTGAGAACCAGACAGTTTCTTAACAATGCTTTTCCGTAGGAAGTGAGCGTCACTGTTATTGTTGGCAGCCAAGCAAGTTAGAAGTAGCAAGGTTGAAAGCGAAGGGAGAACCATTCCTTGTGTTAGGCAAGACTGGAGCCCAATACAGCCTTAAATGAAGCTGAACAGTTTGTGTAGAAACTGTTTTGTCTCTTTCTGTAGTGTCAAACGCTACAACATTTACAAATCATTTAACGGTAAATTTGTTTTCTCTAGCTCTCTATCTTTTCTTTTCCCAAAACGCTGATTATTGCATTTCACACATCACTATTGAGTTACGTATACATCATCGCCCTATCACCCAGGCCTAGTCTGCAGCCTCTTCTTTCTCTTCTCTTCTTCTCAGTCTGGCTATTCTCTGTTGGCATCTTTCATCAACAAGGCATTTCCGTCCTCTGAACTGCTGCTCACTGGATGTTTTTCCTTTGTTGCACCGTTTTGAGTAAACTCTCGAGACAATTGTGCTTGGAAATCCAAGGAGATCAGCATTTATAATAATGTTCAAACCAGGTTATCTGACCCAACATTCATGCCATGATCAAAGTCACTGAGATTTATTCCCTCGTTCTGATTGTTGATGTAAACGTTACCTGAAGCTCTTGGCCTGTATTTGTGTGATTTTGTGCACTGCAATGCTGCCACATTATTGGCTGATTAGATAATTGCATAAATGAGTAGGGGTACAGGTGTTTGTAATGAAGTGCTTGGTGAGTGTAGCTCTGTGGAACTCTCAACGTCTGATGTACCAACTTGCTTTTGTGAACAATTTCAGACTGGCTTTAAGAACCACAATTCGACCTGGAAAGCAGCTCTTACCGCTGTACAGCGGAAGAACAGGGCTGAAGTAATGGCAGACCATAGTCTCACTTTGGAGGTGAAAGAAAAGCCCACTTCCAGAAAAAGGGTAAGATGTGCTAAATGCAGTGTGACAACACACACATGTCTTGTTCAAGGTTTAAGCATTTGCTAGTAAAGAGTGAAGCAGTGCAGATTTTAGGAATAGTTATATAGTGACCACAATTTCATAGATTGGAACATCCTAGCAAGAGTTCAGTTTTGCCAGCTTTTGCCATCAGCTCCAGGAAAACACAGATTGTAACTGTTCATACATGTACATGCACAACAAAACCATTAGAAAGTGTGTTACAAATACTTTTTAGGATAAAATGGCTAACTTCTTTGGTTAGGAGCTCCACCGCTATTCCAGTAATGCTGTCACCATGGCAAAGTTTACATAACTGCATGCTGGCATGAATTGCTCAATACACCAATTTTGTTATTTTTACTTTTTCTCTCTCCTCAACATGTAGATGCAACATAAGCCTCTGTTAACCAAGAAGTTAGATGGTCACATTCTATTTGGGTGGCTACACTGGGACTTGGTGATCCTTTAATGCCTAAACAAAAGTGTAACAAAAATAGTTGGCACCTTAGAGTTGACATTAAGCTTTGACCTGCATGTGCTGAAGTTTGTTGAGACATGTTTAGCTAAAATGAGGAGGACCTCATCAGACCATGAGGGTGAAGTAAAATAATATAGCTTACAATAGTAAGGCACAAAAGAGTTGTCAGTTTATGACAGTACACAATCTTTGGCTATGCTTATTAGGAACACCTACTAATTGCTGGCTCAAACACCCAGTAAGTTACCATGAGGGGTAGCAAGGGTTGCACATGTACTGAAACCGTGCAACCCTGAAAGCGCGCCTCCGTTGGTCAGCTGCTTCAAACAACGATGTTGTCTGGGGCCTGATGCCGATAAATCTGCTGATTTGAACAAGAATCCAACAAGTACATGCCATTCTTTTAAGCATGATATGTTTTATTGGTGACACAGAACACTTTTTAACAAAATATTTTAAAATTGGAATTGTGTATATATATTGCCGTTCATATATATCTCAGCATATCAGCTTTTGGAGGGTAAAAAGTGGGACCAGTGCATGCTTATTTATAACTATAGTAAAGTCAACTGTTTTTAGCATCAGCGTTTAACATTTATAATTTGCCTGTGACAGTTTGACCTTTGCGAGAATTATATGACTTTTATCAGTGTTAACTGTTTTCGTTATACAGCTATTTGTGTCTTTTAATTTAATTTCCTTGAATGATGTGGTATCTCAGTGTGATGTCGAATTTGTACTGATGTGTTAAGAACGTAGTCTGATAAAAGGGAGTCTCGCCCTTCAATAAAAAGAGTCATTTGCCTTGTTGGTAATAGTATAAGTGAGAAAAGCTCCCTCTTCTTTTGAAGACGTGTGTGCATAGTAACTTAACAATTAAAGTAATATATCTGTTCAGTATCTTTTAAAACTTTAATGTGGCTTTCAGTCTTGACGTTACACAGTGCATTCAGGAAGAATTCACACCTCTTGACTTATTGTACACTCTGTTGTGGATTGATTTTTAAATAATTTTTTAAAAACTCTAAAATCATGTTTTCACTGTGTCATTATGGATGATTTAAGTGTAGATTAATGGGTAAAAATGGCAGTTATATAAAGTCAGAATTAAATCCCCAACATCATAAAGTATGCAAAGTCAAGGGCTCTGAACACTTTCTGAATCCACTGTAGGTCTTTCCCCATTCAAAGAGAGAGGAGCCTGATCTTGTATGAATGTTAACAACCACCTGGGGGCAGACTTTCCCATAAGGACATTCTTGTTACTAAAGTTAAACAAATCAATAAGCTTTTAGGGATTTGAATTCCATTATGAATGTTCTCACAAGCATGCTCAAAAACACTATCACAGCACTTTCAGCTATAAAGGCAGCGCACAGAAAAACTGCTGATGAGATGTTGGGTCTGAGGGTTAAATTGGGAGTAAAATACGGGCACCACTCTTAACAATCCTTTGCTTTGCCAGTGTTCTTTTCCACAAACAGGGCTATGCACAGCAAGGGGCAGTGGTACACCAAGGCAACATTTGGCCTATGGGGAGCTGCCAGCTGAGAAATAAGTCAGACCAAGCAGTGGCTGCGCAATCTGAATTGTTTTAGCTATTATTACATAGTTCGTACATATCTTCAGTAAATTCTTACACAAAGTTTTTCTTTGTTTGAGCAGTAACTTGTGAAATTATGCATAGTGCCGCTTTAGTCTAAAGATTTATATGAATGTGACTATGTGAAATGAGTATTTAGAGGTTGCCTGATTAGTGTTTTTGGGACCAATATCGATCGAGGGTGGGGCTGGATGCCAGTTGCAGTGTAAACTTAAGCTAAGATTAACACTTGGATGCTAACATGCTAGCAAAAACAAATCGTCATAGCTTTGACAACAAACCATGTTAATTACAGCTCTAGACGTCCACACAGCATGTTTACAGTGAAATAGGAGCCAAATATGTAATAATATACGTTTTTCACGAGGGAAATGGATATGACAAGGCTGAGGTTGGCTTCCTATTCACCAGCTTCCTGATTGAATTTTCCCATTTAACCTTAAATGGTGCAGCAGTTACATTCCGGCGCGTCAAGAAATATTGCACATATATGTACAGCGCTGATCAGCTCTCAGGGTTGGCTAAGTTAGAGAAATGTTGGCCAATCGTGTATTTGGGCTGAAAATCAGCTGGTACCGATACATAGCTGATCAGTCCTTCCATATCTAGCGGTATGCGTTACTAGCATGTGTGTTGGTAGAGCTTCCATGCTTACTGTCATCTACTTGAAATGAAAATGCATTGTCAATACCAAATATAATGGAGAAAGAATAGTGTTGTAGCTCAAAAGAAAAATGTAGATGAATATTGCAATTTATAATGCACTTTGTAGGTAAATATGTAGTGAGGTCCACAAGGCACTTTACATCTGAAATTTTTAAACAAGTAAAACACTGATGACTACATTTATACTAATAACCTTTCTGTGTGACCAATCCCAGAAACTGCATCACCTAGACGTGCCTGCTCTGAGCTCAGCGTTTGACACCAGCTCAGAGAGGAAAGTCTTCTGCCTGCAGGAACTGCAGTCCTTCACAGAGTTGATACAGAACATCCACAATATAGAGGTAATATTGGACAAGCATCATGGTCTTCTTTACATGACAGTTTGCTCTGTTAGATGTTATTATTGTTCATATTTGGAGAAAGAGAGAAAGATTATAGAATTCTCTTATCTACCGGCCTAATTTGACTTTAAACAATTTAAAATTTGGCCACACTGGGGTGGTGAGTAGTTTTATGCAGCACCAGCTGTCGATCAAACATGTTGAAAATTTGTTAAAGATCTGTGCTTTCTTCCTTCTGTGTGAAAGCTAACCATTACCTTCGTGTTGAACCTTGTGATTACATTTGTGCACTCCTACTGTCTCAAGCTTTCACATTTGTTCTTGGTGATAACAGTTTTGTATCTGAATCTTACTTGTGGGTGGCTAAACCTGTATGTGTGGTAACGCAGCAATTTTAAAACATACAAAAATAAGATTAAGATCTCGCCACTGAGGTGATAAAATTGTCAAATCACCTAGGCTAAGCACATTTGTGTACACACTTTTGTGTACATCTGTCTTTAGAGATATTGAATTACACATCTTTGATGCACAAATCTGTTCTCTTTTACAGCTGTGTTACACTTTAGATTTAATCTAATTAAGTGCTCAGTGGCTTTTTTGCACAGCTGTACTGAAGTATTAAACCCTTAAAGGAAATATCTCATTTACTGTTTCCCCTAACCCCAAAAGTTGTTGATTGGCCAAAATGTGTTTGGTGTCTGAATCATGCTTCCTTTGCAGTGCTGCCATTGCATACATTGAGAGTTTCAGCCCTCGATGAATTGAAATCCTGATTTTAATGATTTTTAGCGCAGCATCGGTTGTAATTGGATAAAGGATTTTTACATTAAACATGGCTATGTAATGATACAATATAGGCCAAAATTATGTAGACACCTGACCAGCACATCAGTGTGAACTTGTTGGACATCCCATTCCAAAACCATGGGCATTAATATAGAATTACCACCACCCCACTGTGGTGGTAATTCTATATTACTTAATAAATATATATTTGGATTGTGTCTGTTTTGAATTTGTTGTCTTGGCATCTGCCAAACCCACATTCCTCTGTCAGATAGTGAAGCATAAATGGTCGCTCTGGAGAACATGTTTCCACTGCTCCAGAGTCCAGTGGCATACTTTATATATCGCCGACGCTTGGCATTGCTCAGAATGATCTTAGGCTTGTGTGCAGCTGCTCAGCCATGGAAACTTATTTAACGAAGCTCCTGATGCACAGTTCTTGTGCTGATGTTGCTTTTTCAATGATGTAGTGACTGATGCAACAGAATATTTTTCTATGCTATATTTTTATGCACTACATGCTTCAGCACTGAGCAGTCCTGCTCTGTAAGTTTGCGTGGTCTACTGTGTTGTGGCTTAGCTGTTGTTGCTGCTAGACACTGATTGGACAGATCTATGAGGGCAGAAATATTATGTACTATTCTACCAGCAATTCTACCGCCAGTGTTTTTCAAAAAAAATTGCAAGGCTGTGTGTTTTGTTTTATATATACCTGTTAGAAATAAGTGTGGCAGAAACACCTAGACTTAATAATTAAGAGGGGTGTCCACATACTTTTGGCTATACAGGTTAGGTGACTGGCAGATGTTCCTTTACCTGTTTACCATTACCGTTTTTAATAACCTCTGTTATGATAATGCTGACTTCTGCTAGCGTTATGTTAGCAGGTGTTGGTGTACATTAACATAGCATGCAGGTTTTATTTCTGGTTTAAGTGGTAGGAAATTCAAAATAACGCTATATTGCATTTTGGTTTGATGAGTTGGTTATTATTTGATTGGTTCGTTTGTTTATAGTTGGTAAAACAATGAAAACAAATTATTTCTTTTTTTTGTATTCACATTAGCAGAACTAAAATTGAGCCAAATGATAGTGTGTGCATGGACATTCTATACACTAGACTCCTGAAGTTGCATTCGCCTACTATTGTACGTCATTGGTTGAACGTGAGGGATACTTTGAAACAGCAACCCCAGGTGCCCAGATTAATCTGCTTGGGACACTTGTTACATTACAGAAATGTTCTTCCACAAGGTGCTGCAATATTCGTATAGTTTGTATTCGTATATATATTAGAGATGAAACGATATTAAAATTTCATATCACGATTATCATGACCAAAATGATCACGATTATCGGTATTATCGCGATATTGTTCAAATGTTTTGAAAAGTAAAATAAATAAAATAAATACTGCTACACAAACAAACTCGTTTCACCAACTTTTATATTAACACAAATAGAATTGGCAGCAATATGCACTTTTTGTTTGCATAAACATTAAAAAATAAGGTCAATACATTTTTAGTATTACTTTTGTATTACTTACAATGCTTGTAATACTCTGTAAACAAAAGAATAGCAAATGTATTATTATTACAGTTGTTATTATTATAATAATAATTATTATTATTGTTATTACTGTTATTATTCTTTTTCTTCTTCTTCTTCTTCTTATTTATATTATTATTAATTACAATGATTAGGGATTTCCCTGCATAGAGAATTAAATCTCGACCAACTCTGAGGTGGGTCTTAATGGAAAATTACTACTTCTAAGACATGCTGCACTCGAGGGATTTCTGTCCGAACTGCAGCTGCAGCATTATTGTGCCGCTGTGGCGCTGTACCCCTAATCAACACAGTGCACCAGGAAAAACAGCCAAAATCACAGAGGAACTGCGTGACCGTGCTGTGAGCTGCAGACAGTGTAGAACTCACACAGTGTGTCTTCACCTGTGGAGCTGCTTCTCTAAAAGCATTTTAAAACTAAAACATAACTTAAAATTTATCTCGCGAGACGAGAAAAGGGGAGCTGTGCAGATTGAACCTCTGCAGCGTCTCGTTCCAGAGCTTGTGTGACTGTTAACTCAGAGCTCATTTTGGAGACTCTGCTCCACAGAAATGTGTTAAAACTATAGTTTCGATTCACAGTTGATTCACCGATTGTTTTTCTTTTTTTCTTTTTTTTTGACGCTAAAAGCTTCATTTTATATTATTAATGAACCACAAGCATTGGTTAAACCACACAAACCATGACATTTCTTCTATTTCGAAGTCCCCACAGACTTCCACGTTAAAGTTAACCTTGCATTCTCTAAAAAGTAGCGGGTGGTGGTCGCGAAGATGACTCGTAAAGTTTGATGTGTTGCCCCCTTTCGCCGCTATTTTCTTTCGGCCTGTTCTGCAGACAGGGTGGTCATCTTCAATTAGCTTTCCTTCTGCATCCTTATAAAACCCAAAATATGACCAAACGTCAGACTTGGTCTTCTTAGAAGGCTACGGTAGCGGCTTCTGTACCAACATATAGTGTGCAAGCAGCTGGGCTTCAGCTGGCAATCCATTGTTGTTGCCTACTTGCTGTACTTTGAAGTATAGTAACAAAACTGCTTTAAAGTGTCGTTAAATATGTAAATGTTATTTTTAAGGTTGACTTTGAGAACTAGTGTTTGGACTAGTATTAACAAGTATTTAAAGCCTGTAAAATGCTGGCAGTCACTTCTGTGTTACTGTGGCCTTGTATTTGGGATCACTGTCCTGCTGAAAGGTGAAGTTTCTCCTAAGCAATAGTTTTTTTTAGCAGACTGAAGCAGGTTATCTATCAGTATCTCCATTAGTATTGCACCATTTATCTGTCCTTTTAATTTTAACAAGAATCCCAGTCCGTGCTGAGAAAGCATTTGCACAACTGCCCCTGTTCACTGTTGGGATGGTGTTAATAGAGGAATGAGCAGTGTTTGAAATTGTGCTTGAAAGGTCCATTTTTGCCTTATCTGACCATAAAACCTTATCCCATGATCTGGGTCAGTCTGATGCTTTCTGGTGAACTCCAGTGCTTTGATGTGTGTGTGTGTGTGTGTGTGTGTGTGTGTGTGTGTGTGTGTGTGTGTGTGTGTGTGTTTTGTGTTTTGTAATAGCTTCTTTCTAGCCAACCTCTCATATAGGTCCATTGTATGCCGAGCTCTTGACATCGTTGGCTGGTGCACCTTCGCTCCAGTCTCAGCCATTGAACTCTGTAGCTCCTTCAGAGTGATTGTTGGCTTCTCTGTAGCTTCCTCCACAAGTCTCCTTCTCATTCGTTCTCTGATGCTGAGTTTTGGGGGAGGACCTTGTCTAGGCCATGCCTGAGTGCTATGACGCTGCTTCCATTTCCTCATAATTGATTTAGTGGTGCTCAGTGGGGTATCCAGACACTTGGATATTGTTTTGTAGCCTCTTCCTGTCTTGCACATGTCGATAACTGTATCCCTGGTTGCCTTACAGTGCTTTTTAGTGTTCATTTTCACAGCTTTCCTTCAGATTCACACTCTGCTCAAAGGTGCTTAAGATGGGACTTTTATCCAGGAAAAAGTGACCTTTTTTAATGATTTGCAAGTAGAGACCAATTGCAAGCCAAATATGTCCTTGTTAAGGCAGTATCTTTCATCTGTGTAACCTTTGAGCTTCCACAGCACTGAATACCTATTCAAACAGCATTTTTCAATTAGTCAATTTTGTCACAGAATATTTTCTAACCAAAAAAAAAAACATCACAATTTTGAGGGTCAGTCATTTCAAAATTTTAAAACTAGTAATCCAGACAAATCTGAAGACTTTTAAGGAGGTTGAATGCTTTGCAAGGTGCTGTATACAATTGTGGAGCTTTAACAAGAAGGTCACAAAGTGTATAAAAAGACTAGGACACGGATAACAAAGACAAAAATATCTTTAAAAAAAAAAAAAATACAAATTATGTTGCATTGCTAAAAACAGTATTAGCAGCAACCATCAACCATAAAACCAGAGAATTCATATAAGCCAGTCTGTTTGAGATTACTTAACAGCTCAGTATGATCTTTAATGGGGGTATTAGAATATTTAATAAATATTAAATTCATAGATGTTCATATACACATCACTGCACATCCTACAGGGCAGTAACAGTATTCAGTGTAGTAATAGGCTAGTCATGCCTAGAAAATTCAAGAACACTCTTTAATACATTTTGTCTGTGGTGGCCAATATGCACTGTTTGTGTTGAACCAAGGACCAAAAATAGAATGATGTATACAAATAAAGAAGGTAGGCAAGTTTCAAATTGAGTTTAAAAACAATGTATTCTGTTTAGGGCTGGGCGATATAACAATAATTATCGCGATGTAACTTTTCCTCGATCGAGCGATACGACATGTTCGATAAATGTTCGATATAATACACCATTCTCACACTTCCACATTCTAGCGAAAGCGTTGGTGGCGTTTTCTACTGCAAGGAAAGTGACACTACTGTGCTGTCGCCAGGAGTTTAGAGTTTTTCGACATGATTAGAGAGGGAGGGGGCCACGAGTAAGATGAGTCTTTGGCAAAGGCTGAAACGCGGAGTTAGACATTCCCTGTTTGAGTGGAGCGACCGGCGATCTGTTCTCCTGTGACCGAGTGTGAGTGACGAGGTCAGTGGAGTAACTGTACTGCCCTACAGCGAACTCACCTCTTTCTGTACATCCTAACCAGCTTTAGCAGCGTTAAATCACAATCACAATCCTCACAACTACAGCGCTGTTACAGCGCTCGGACAGTCATAATTTAGTATGAGTGCATTCCCAAGCAACAAAAGTGAAAGAAAGAAGTGAGTTCATGTGAGTTACAGCCCTGATTTAAACGAAAGTAAACTGAGGAAGCTGTGAGGCATTGGAGAGCGGAAGAGCACTATCTTTCCAGGCTAGCTGTTTTTAGCAGCTGGCTAACTTGAAGCAGCACTCCGTCACTCCACAACACGGAGAATTGATGATACTGTAGATCAAACACGACACAAAATCACCACTTTCAGTTTAAACGTACCTAAAAAGAGGACTCTGTTTGTCTGGTGTTGATATTTTGCGGTTCACCACTTAAACTACTACGATAGTATAGAGAAACCAGTTGTCGCTAGCTGGTGTCTGAATACTGTGATGTCATTTGTAACGGGGTAGCCGAGCAAAAATAATGAAGTTTTCTTTCTTAAATTATGACTATTACAAAAATAACCATGCTTTTCCAGCTGGTAAAAACAGCTCACCAGACACTTTCTCCCACTCTCCCGTGACAGATTTGTGAAATGTTCCACTGTTTGGTGAGTGTTTGTCATGTTCTGAACATAAAGGATAGTTTAAAACAGCAATTAACCACCCAGGAGCAAAAATCAGCCTTCAAACTTGAAAGAAATAATGATTTGACATTTATCGCGATATGTATCGATATCGAACAATATTAATTTTGTTTATCGTGATAACATTTTTGGCCATATCACCCAGCTCTAATTCTGTTATTAAAATACTGAACAAAGAAAAAAAAAAAAGAATTAAGTAATTTATATATATATAATGCAGTAAGTGAGGGAAGGTGTCCTACCGATAAATTGGTGTGATCCTTCAAACATATGGCAACATTCATGTCAGCCATGCATACAGTAATGTGAAAGCCAGTACTGTCAGGCAGACCTCACAGTTTGTGAGCTGAGCAAGTCTCTAACATGGCTTAGAAGCCAAGGTTATCTGCCTTCTCTTTCAAATGTTTAGTGTGCTTGTTGTAATGGCATTATTTTGCTATTTTGTTAGAGCTCAGAGCACACTGATATGCTGTGAGATGTTATTCAAGTCTCAAAAAAGGGTTCCATTACAGTTATGAGTAATACACCATGTTCAGATGCTCCTGCATGTGATCCGGTTACTCAGTAAAGTCTTAAAACAATAATACAACAGATGTTTGTGTTTGGGATTTCATGCTGTAACGTTATTACAAAATTGCAAGTTTTTTTTTTTTTTAACTGCATTATGTCATGTTTTCTTGGTGAGGACTCTTAAATAACTACACATAACAAATGTTAGGGAAAATCTTTGTGTTGAAATCATTATTATCTTAATCCTATCTGTCAGGCTCTAGTATGGTAACTTGCTGGCAGGTCAAATGAGAGGTCCTCATGGGCACACTTTGGGCTCTAGAGGCATGCTCTTACATTAAATGTTACAATTTTCTGCATTGGGTTAATTTTAAGGAAGTAAGAGGAAGTTCTAAACTGTTGGACATCATTTCATAGAATTCAGAAAATTGATTATGCCGATGAAATGCTGTCTTAATTACAGGCCCTTCTCAGACTTTATATACTGACTACAGTTTCATTGATTAGCCTCATGGTGGAGCTCTGTCATCACTAGACCATTGAGCCAGCTGCATCACTTTGCTGTTAATATTGCATGTATATGCAGTTTGAATATGTTATGACATCTTAGCCTTTTCAGTTTAAGACCGTTTTTGTGGCTGTACATTGTAGTACTGCTACAGACAGTTTAGTACGATCAGCATTCAAAAGAAGATGCTGAGAAACGTGGAAATTCAACTGAATATACCATGAAGTGCACAGTTACAGGAGGCTGCTCACAAACTGACCGGCAGATCCACTGACCTGGTGAACCTTGATGGTGTAAATCTTTCTAAAAGGCCTCTGGATGGTTACGCTTCATGGTAGATAAATTTTGCCCTCCGTTTGTCAAGCCAATACGTGCAACAAGGTGTTCTGACAGGACTTTAATCTTTTATGGTTGAGGCTGCAGTTTAGTGAGGGAAGGATGAACAGAGTGGTCATGGTAAGAGGATCATGCACTAAAATAAAAACCAAACCCAAATCAGTCATTACTATGGCAAAGGATCATTGATTCCATCCTACCGAAGCTCCCCTCATCATTAAAACTAGCCTTTTCTCTGATGAATGATACATTTGCTTCTTAATTATGGAAGGACTGAGCCATGTCCGTTGACAATCTGTCACTGCATATTATTTATTTATTATGTGCTCTAGTCTCCATATTGAGAAGCAGCTGTCCATGCAGTGATTGAAATTACAAAGCTGGGAATAATATCTGAATATTACAGGACGTAAAAATATTTTATCTTTTGCATATTTAGCATTTCTGTCTATGTCCATTGCAGTAAAAGAAATCAATTCTGAGTGGTTCTCTAGCTAAATAAAAATATGGATAAATATGGACTTGATTTTCATTGATTTTAATGGCTGTCAGTTACAGTGTGGTTGTTAAGTGCACTGTAATGTATTTGGAGATTGTGTGTCTCGATGCTCAGGGCATGCATTCCGTTTCAGCTTCCAGCCCAAATGGGTTCTCTCCTGGGATCCTCTCTAGCCCTCCATTACCTGGACTGTGTACAGGATGAGTCTGCCTTCCTGCGCCTCAACTTTTGGCTTGGACACTCACTACAGGAGGGTAAAAATGCCCAGACATTTTGACTTGAGCTTGTTTGGATAAACAAAACTTTATAACACCTGAAAGTATTTCTGTATTCTTTTCTGCTGCCATTGTGCTGTAATCTTGCCAATGCTTTTTTCTCCTTCTCGGAGATGAGTTGGCTGTAGTAATGTAGGTTTTTTTCGTTTTGGTAGAATTCCTGCTGTGTCCTGCAGATGGGAGTCTGAGCAGCCTAGCCGAAGCCTCACGATTCCTTAGTATTATCCTCTCCTCACAGCAGTTCCTCCAGGTGAGACAACATAGAACAGAATTCCCTAGCAAACATTTGTGCTAGGGCATCAGACTGCCATGTTGCAAGAGTTGTTCTGTTGATTGAAACCTTTTAAGAAACACCATCATGAGCACCAGAACTCTTGTCCTAACTTGCACTTTGTCTTCCTCAGTAGGCCTTCCTTTTTCATTCTGGCGTCGGTCAGATGATATTAACAAAGATAGCCTTGATCTCTTTACTATGTAAGAAAAGACCATCCAGACACATGTTGATGAGGTCTATCTGTATACTGTTGGTGTTTCTCAGGAGGGTTTCTTCAGCACTGAGAGCTTCCTCTATAAGTTCCTGAGCGTGTGGGATGGCTCACTGCTGCGGACTCACATTTTGGATTTGCTCAGTCACGTCCCTCTGATGCCCAGCCACTGTGAGTACAACTTTTTACATCAAAGCCAGCTTTCCTTTGTTTTTGACGTGTGACTTTTTGCACTTGACTGCAGGGCATATTCTGTAGCAGTGGTGGAAGATTTCAGTAATTTCAGCGATTTGTCTTATTGTCTTATTTTATGCAGGCTTTCAAAAAAAGTTGTTTAAAGAATCTCTGTAGTGTCTCCAAAAATTCAGAAATGTACATTGTTTGACTTTTAAACATCAGCATTGGCTCAGTACTGCAATATGGGCCCTTCCCCCTCCTGCTGGGGTGTTCTATCATTGTACTTGGCTGGATTGGAACAAATGCTGGGCAACTGTCCAAGTCAAGTCTCTTAAGTACGTGTTGACTCCTGTAGGTCTCTGACTTCAAAATACCGGTTTAATGCCATTCTGGTTTACCATTTGTATGAGTATCATTGTGTGGACAGCTGGAACATTTTTTTTTTTGTCCAATATCTGCAGATATCAAAATTCTTGTCTTTGAACCACTGATGCAACTCTACTTCACCTCTGCTGTGTTCTTTAAGGTAGGAATCTGTTCTTTCTGTTTCCTTCCTGTTTATTTTCTGGTTGTATGTAACATGTCAAGCTTAATGCAAGCCCTTGTACAGATGCCAGGCGGTATGTGCACATGCCTGCTGTGTTTGTTAGTTAGTGTTGTAAACACTTTTGCAGAGGGCACAACATTTTTCATTTTTTTTCTCAAGTTTCATATATGACATTTCAGTGTAAAAGAGTAGCTTTTGATTCTTCTCTAGCCTCTATCTGAGCGTGCTTTGCTTCATTGTTTTTCTTCACAGTGTAGTGTCATCGAGTGTCTCAACAACATGCTGGTGAAGTGGCTGACCTGGCATTCCGTCAACGCTCTTGAGGATGGCCTGGACATCAGCCTTAACAGCAATGGCACAGTGTGAGCATCCCCAAAATTATTTCTTCTCCTGTCTGATCTTGTCTAAATGTGTGCTTCACGTCACAGTGAAGTGATTTTGCTTTTAAAGGGTCCCTTGTTTTAAACGAACTATAATGGTTAGGGCTAGAGTAAACTGGTTGATGATGCCATTCCTAGTAGGTTTAGTTAAAGGAGCGTTCTGCACAAATTATCATAAATGTATGATTTTAGCGCAGAGATTCAGTTTGTCTGCTAAGTAGCTAACTAGTAAACAGTTAACTGCAAAACAGGTAAAGAAGGCTGGGGATACTGCAGGCCTCACACAGATCACACAGTTGTGATGTGCCGACCTTAATCATTGTCACAGAAATGTAAATTAAATTTTATACCATTGTTGAAAGCCCCTTAAATGGTATGCAATTGATCTTGAGGCTTCAACACAGATTTGTTTTTCTAAAGCCTTTTAGTCATGGCTGGTTTTACCTCAGAGGTGATGTTAATTCAGAAAAATATTGGCCAATCAGTATGGGTCATGGTGAAGCCCTGTCTGAACTTTTTGTATCCAGAAAGTGCTCTGTTGAACTGTGTGTAATGAAGTGTGGTGGATGTTTCCCTTGCCTCTGTATATTGCCTCACCATGCCTGCTGATTTGATTTTTTTTATTATTATTATGGAGGTGAACTGCTGAAGGAGGAATTAAGATCAAGGGTGAAACTGTATTTGACTTCTTCAGTAGACCATGCCTCAATGTGATCTACTTACTTTAGTTATGCTTTAGGCCTGTGTGGTCTGAGGTCTGTGCATACTGCAAACTGAGGAAAAGACAGGCACATCTGGCATATATGAAATTTAATTTATGACCTGTGTGTGTGTGAGAGAGCATGCACTTTGTAGTTTTATATTTCAGTCCCTGTAAAGTAACTATATTATTTCACTTGTCATTTATTTCAAAGAGCATGAGAGAATTTCCAAATAGTTTTTTTCTCTTTTCCAGAACTATGACCCTGTCTGGGTTTATGGATACAGTCATAGAGCTGGTGCGGTTTGTTGGACGTCTGGCTGCTGAGGGGCTACGACTAGAGAACTGCCACGTCCTGCTCCTCAGCCAAACACTCACCTTCTATGAGACAGTAAGCCAAGCTTTGATGGTTATTTTTAATTACTTCAGTGTACATTTTGCGTTGGAGAAAACTTGGGCGATTTACAGGCTTTGAATACACATTGGTATTTCTGAATTAGTACTGAGGACAATAATATTTACGTTTCATAATTAACCATAATCTTCAGTATGGTCATTACTGCTGTTCAAAACATATCCAGTAGGCAGCACTGATATATTATTGTTGAGGCTGAAGCCCAGCTGCTCATACAGTGTATTTTGTTATAGAAGCTGTGATATTTTTTTCCAAATACTTTTGAGTCACATAGATGCATATAGTGTAATAAATAAGTGTAATAAAAAGTTTTTGTTTTATCACCAATGCAATTTTAGCTTTAGTTTGTTGCTTTTCTCGAGCTATTTTATTGGCTATTTCACAAAGAGAGTGACACACAGGCCAAGTTGAGCTCAGTCCTGCCCAAGCTACAAAGAATGGAGCGGAAGACTCGTTCCAGGACTGCATTGGAAGCGCCTGGGTAGGCACCTCTCGGGTGGTGTAGGACCTAGACCTGCAAGGCAACAGGGCCTCTGAAAATGTGATCACTTCCACCCCACGGCATCTGGCTCTTGGTCATTTGCGAGAGTAAATTTCACACCAGCCACAAACACCTCTGCCTGGGAGTGCTTACAACGATAGCAGCACTGGTGTTCCTCTCTTTCTTCACTGCCACAACTCCCTGCAAAAAAGGGGGGCAAGGCATTGAGCTCCCTGTTTTTAACATCTCCATCACCATAGCCTAGGGGTATTTCGATGAGCATCACTGTTCAAACATATTTGAGATGATTCATCAAACTTGTCATGGTCAGTGCAAATGTACATTTTTCTCAGTGCTTCCACACGTGTAATTTCCTAGGCATCTTTGCTCTTTTAGCTTCAGTGGAAAACGATGCAGTTTATTGCTTTCTGAGACAAGGAGATGTAATTCTTAGCATTAATTTATGATGCTTTCAGTTATACTATGTACATTTTCCGTACATTTAACAGTCACTGTTCTTTTAAAAGGCCTCTGCTGATGAAACATGCTGTAGCTTAGGCTCTGATTTTTGTGCCTTTATCAAAAAGATGGAAGCTTTTGAACACTAAATAAAGAGTCAGTATACAGTATTGAAATTATTCAGACCAGCCTAGAAAATAAATAATACAGCGTGGAATATGTTGCTTGTACTAAAGTCAATTTAGTTGTTTGTTGTTCATTTTTTTTGTGCATCGTGTGCATCAGTGTGGCTCTGTTGTTTCTAGGTGTGCGATATGTTTGTAAAGTATGGCTTGCCCCTGGTCATCATGCCTCCAGCTGGGGTGTTTTATCCAGCTCTCCTTGCCACAGACCCACTCACTGTTGATCGGCTAGGCTACATCATGTACAGGTAAGCTAAGAAAAGCTTACACGTCTGTTTTGAATATTGCGTCTTGTTATTTGAATTTGTATTTGAAAAAGTTTTGCTATATGGATGTATTTGTAGTTCATTTAGATAATTTAAGTATGTGAGTGCGCATTTGTGTGTTTTTCAGTCCATTCAGCAGAAAACACTAAACACACTAGTGGAAATTGCATATGTTCTGTGACAAATACAGCACAAATACTAGCTCTGAATTAATCATTTTCATTTGTTGGTTTGAAGTGAGGAAATTTATTCTTTGGTCTCATTTTATTTGAGGTTGGAACATTCATATAGATGTGTTTTTATGATTCAGGGAACTAGTTCTAAATGATATTGAATGTTCCACTTGGATAGAATTATTCGAATATTTTTTCGTGAGGGTTTCATTTTTAACTTTTTTATTTATTTATTTTTTATGTTTATATTGTATATGATTTAAGAAACATATTTAATTATTTAGCTCTTAGTCCACTAAGGATGGTATATGCAAGAGAGAGGTTTTGTTGTACTTGCTGTTTGTGTTTTGCTTTTGTTATAGTGTGGCTTGTTCTCAGGAGGTTGTAAGAGTACAGCCTTGATGCAAGTTGCATTAAAGGCTAAATATATTAAACGTGTGGCCCAGACATATGACTCAATTAACCATAAAAATGTTGTGCACTTGTTTCTTTCATGTCAGGTTTTCAAATGAATGTCAGCATCTTTTGCTTTCAAACAACTCTTAGCTCATTCTTTATTTTTTCTTCAGATACCGGAAAAACCTGACCTTGGCCAAAAAACAGGAGCAGCAGAGTGAGGTAATAAAGAGATTGTCTTGTAAAACCATTGTGCAGTTATGCCATGAATACCAAGTTGTCTGACTGGAAGGGTTTTGTTTTTGAATAATTCACTAATAATGGGTGAATTAGAAAGACCTTCAAGCTGTGCTTTAAGAATCTGTAATGAAGGTGTTTCAGGCTGTTGATAAAGTCTGTATTTTTCCTGCTGATGATAAAAGGAGAAAAAGCACCAGATAGTGTCCCAGAGAGGCCTCAGGGCATAGCAAGGAAATAGACATCCCACTGAATAAAATGGCGCACTATCATTCATGTTTTGTTAAAGGGTGTTTTACATCATCTAAGGTCCTGTGTGATGAAAGGGAGCCCTATTTCAAGATGTCACACTAACAGTGTTCATCATTTTTTCAAAATATATTCTATTCACTGTTGCCTAGTTAACAATATCGAATGTATGTTGAAGGAAATACATTTAAAGCAGCAATGTATTAAGTTATAGGCCAAAGTCATTTAGTTTATCCACTTTATATTATCTGTTATTCAGCTGAAGTTTATAGAACAGTGTTATTGTGTTCTACAAATTATCATGAGAGGATTGCTAATTTTCTAGTTCCATTTGTTTCCATTTTGTTTACCACAACAGTTAAAATGTTAACATATACTTCAAATTGGGTGCTGTAGCTCTCTCTTAGTTCAGTTTCATTTATTCATTGATTTAATAATGTATATCTCTTTGCGCTGGTCAACTGATAGCAAGCACAAATGGAATAAATATCTAAGATAAAACTTTTTACTCCAGCGGAATATGTTAGACTATGGGTTATAGCTGTATAAGGTTTCTAGGTTGAAACATAGTATACTATTACTTCAGGCAGTGCCATTTAGAGTGATTTTTAATGATTTTAATCTCCTTAAATTGCAGCAAACATTTCACATAAGCAGAAATACATACCAGGAGTTCAACCAGCACCTAGTGGCCATGGTGAGCTGTCTGTGGAACTCCAAGTCTTTCTTGCCTGGCACTGGCTTTGAGATTGACGAGTGCTTGCTCACCCAGACCAAAGTGCCTGAGTACTGGAGCCATTTTGACCTAGTTCATCATCCAGCCTTCTTCAAGTACGCCATTGAGTTTCACGAGAAGGTGAGTGCAATATGTTGAATTTTGAGAATTTTGTAACCACAGCTCTGAAAATATTGAGGCCACAGTGGTTGGTCAAAAGCACAGACTATACCCTACTTAATCTTGTGGGTCCAGTGCCCCAGTCCACTTCTGCCACAGGCTAGAAAAAAAAAAAAGTAACTCCATGCCTTCACTTTAAAAGAATCACTTTACTTTAGGCTAAAGCAAAGTTTTTGCTAGTGCAATAAACCAACCTGTATTAGTACTTGTGCACTGGTGCCAGCCCCTGCTGTGTAATAGACAAGAGGTATATATTCCAAAGTCCAGAGAGGTAAATATTTTTACATGTTTGCTTTCAGACTCTACATCTCTTTATAAATTTATCAAACTGAAATTGTCACCTCTGATGTCGGAACAAGCCACGCGGTTGTGAGAATGTTTCTGATTGTTTTGGAATTATCTGGATTTCTGTAAATAAAGTAGTACTGTCACTTTGGAATTGACTAATCTACTGATTATTTTAAAGATTGAGTAATTTTTGTTCTGTTGCTTTTTTTGTTTAATACGACTACACAAAAAATAGACTTAACTCATGCAAGTCATTGCTGGTTTATTGATAGGGTGACTTTTAATACTTTTGAAAATGGATTATCAGGCTTAATTGATTAATCATGAAGTGCCAAAAATACAACATATAAATGACAATACAATCTTAACCTCAGTTACATGCTTTCTGTAGCTGCTGATGAGGCCTGTACAGTGGCTGAGTATTGACCCATTTCTCCCTACTAAACTGTTAAAGTCTCTCTGTTGTTGACTTACTTTTGCATCATTGTCATTGCATGTTGCACAACTCGACCTCTTTTGAGCTTTAGAGCAGACAGGTGCCCTGACATTGTGCTGAACAATTTCCACTTTGGAATTGGCTGGTCCCTAAATGATTGCAAGCCATTCAGGCCCTGAGGCAACAATGCAGCAACACACGCACTTCTTATTCAGTGATTTTCTGACAGTAGACTTATAAACATACACTGTGAAGTCCAAGAGATGCCTACAGATCTTGCACTGTCATCCTAGGGCTCCTTGTCGCATGTTTTAGCAATATACAGAATGCCTTTCACTGTTCTTTGTTGAACACCCGTTCCTAGGAAGAGAGGGAAAGGTACTGGACTACAGCCCAAGTGCTTATAACCTTTTACAGTCCTTCTTGAACCTTACGTAGTTTTTTGAAATGTGTTGGTGGCTCTTTTTTCATCATGACTTAACTGAAGTTCAAGGCTACTTTTTACAAGCCCTGCATGCAGAAAACTACATAATTCCAAAGTGTTCACAAACATCCCCACAATTACCTGGCTAGTTGTGTGAGTATGTGAGTGACATGCAAAACTGCTTATTGTACCTTTTAAGGTTGAACAAGGAGATGAACATGATATTGATGTGTCTTTTATGGAAGGTTTGTTAATATGGAATCACATTTTATTATTCATGGGAGCTGCATAAGACTTGAGTTTTCATCATGTTTAAAAATACATATAAATAGTACCTTTCTTGGTCCAACTGTTCCAACCAGCTCTGTTCTGCTGAGATTTAAAGGAGAGGAAAATGATGAATATTTATGCTTTCTCTCGATCAGTGCTGGCCAGGGAGGAAGGGTGTGGACCTTGCCTCCATAAAGGTAATACAAATACCATTTTATTAGTAAGAGCACTGATGCCTGTTGAAGTGTTTTTTCATTATTACTCAGCTTTAAGTCACCTGATTACACTGTAGGATCTTGTCTTTTTTGGAGTGAACATGTGTTTCTGTCCTCAGGTTGGAAAATACTGGAACTGGTATGTGGAGTTCCTCTTCAGCCAGGGCTTTGATGGTCTCAATGACTTCATCCAGGTTAACACTGGCCACAGCAGCTCCTCTGGCTCTAGTAGCCAAGGCGACGGTCATCATACGAACCAGCGCTAATGGTTTGAAGTTTAAAGACTGTGTTACCTGGAAAGGCTACAGAGTGTGACGTGGCTCCATGTTTCAGTGGTCATGTACATATTTTTTAGTCTCGTCTGAGAGGACTTGTGTTGGAAACCACAGTGACATTGTAAATAGAACTGTATATTATTTTACTTGTCTGTATCCGAGTATATTATTTCTATTTGGCTTGTGTCCGTTTCATTCTTTATTCATTTTATTTCATCTGTAAGACTTTTACATTGCGTGTCTAGGTTTTCAGGTATTGCTGAAAGATTTCAGAACCTGGAAGTGTCTTGCATTTGATGATTACACAAAGCTAGATAGATTTTTTTTTTTTAATCTCATGATGTCTCAAAAATAATTAGGGTTAAATCTTATAATCCTTAAGGTTTCACACTTTCATGCATGTTTGAAGCCTTTTTTTTTCCGTTTTTGTCTGCTATATTTCCTGTTCATACAAACGTCATGTGCTAGTACAAGTATAAAAGACTTATCCAGTTCTTTCTTTTAATACCCATCAAAAATGCATTGTTTTCTCTCTTCCCATTAAAACTCCATGGAATTGCACTATTTTACCCAACTGTATACCTTTTTTAATTTTTTATTTTATTTATTTTTTTTTTTTTTACTGAGCTCCACATAAACAGCATTTAGCAAGACTATTAGGATTGACTGCCAGAGAAAGCTCACAGGGAGGAAACTGCTGTTAAAAGGACAGTCCGTAGTGTGTAATAACATGGCCGTAGCACACTAGCGGTGCACCTCAGCACCTTTCTTGACCTTTTTACGTTGTCTTCAATGTGGCCTGGATTTAATGGCTTCAGTAAAGAATGCAACACAATGTAAAATGTTTACAATCCTTTGTTTGTGAACCAAAGTCTGACTCTGTTGATCTGTCTATCTGGACAATGTCATGTTGAAGATTACTTTTTTTTTTCCTTTCTTAATGTTTATACTTTATTGTTGGCTAGCCTTAATGAAGTTCCTTCATAAACTTATTTAACAAATGATGCTTGTTTCAGAGAAAAACAGTGCATCAGACTGATGGACTCATTGCGTGGAGAAAGCCTGGAGAAGAGCTCTAACCAGACTGCACTAAGGACACTGTAAAGCACTCAAGTGGAAAAGTCAAAATCTGTGTCTGTGAACCTGTGATCATAATCTTGAAAGAATGATAACGATCTGAAACGCACTAGCCACCTTTTGAGAGAATACTTTTTCTTGAGAAAGTTACTTTCACAATGAACTTAAAGCGGAATTGGGAATTTTGCTGATTTTTCAAAAGTTCTGCATAATTAAGTTGTTAAGATGTAAATAAAGTCATGCCAAGTGGTTTGATGTGAAATCCTCCCTTCTAGAGAAACTTGCAGAGTCAAAATTGTTTAGTGGTGTCAGGAGCCTGATGTCTGAAGAATTTAATGCCTCTAAAATCTCCTTCACAGTTATCACCTGGAATGGTTATGAATATGCTGCCTTGTGTCTGAGAAATTGTTTTGATGGTTTTAAGTAATTTTTTGTTGTTTCACAGTAGAGAGCTACATTCAGTGCGTTTTAAGGTGAAATAGTCCTCCAAGAAAACGTTTTCAGATTTTCAGGGGGGGTGCTGTCAGCCCACACGATGTATTTTTTTCGTCCTCAGTGCGGAGAGGTGTTGCGCGCGCGCTCCTCGCTATCAGTAACGGTCGGTCCCTGTCGTTTCCTCTTCGGCGCGTTTTAACCCAAAACTCAGATTAAACCTTCAGAGCTGCGCGGCTGTCTCAGCTGCCTGGCACCTCCAGCGGCCGATGGCAGCGACAGTGTCTGAGAGGCTCTCCGGCGAGTCTGCGCACCTCGCAGCCGAAAGCTGCTCGGTCCTGACGGCTCTCCCTGCTCGCCTTCCCGCCCGGCTCGGACGGCGCCTCCTCTGAGCCTTGAGCAGTTCTGTGGAAGTGCTTTCCTCTGGACATTTTCTCACCTTGAGAGATAAAGGTAAGACTTGAAATGATAGCTAAGTGTGTCAGAACCCTTTGTGTACGTTATGTATTTATTCACGACTGCGCTGAAGAAACTATATGAGCTTCATGACTGCCGGGGACGACTGTTACTGTTTTCATTAAACAGCCTATTCGGGGAAAATGTTACCGAAACCGGTCGTCCCTGTAATGTCTATCACAGTGTGTCGTCAGGTTAATGCTCATATATTTTCCGGCTCTGTGTTGGATCGTGTAAGTGGGTGTGCAGGCTGCTCTAGTGTTTGTGAACTGTGGGATGTTATAAGAGTGATCGTGTGACCGTGTCCGCGTAGCGTGACAGGAGGAAGCTAAAGCTACTTCACAGCCTGCCTTCGGATCTGGAGCGCTAACCCCCCCCAGTTTATACAAACACGGGCTTAAAACCGTCCACGACTTTTAGAGCCAAACTTAATCTCCACTTTTACGGTCAATACACCATGATATGTTACGAACCCCCTCGATTTCCCTTTTGAGTTCGGTTTCTGCTGCTTAGGAACCATTTGGGTTGTTTTTTTCTTTAAAACTGCAATAATCACTCCGTCAGAAATGCCAAAGCAGTTTTTGGTCTCATAAAAGACCCTTCAGTTCTTGTCACCTGCTAGCGGTTGAGAACCGGCATGAAAGGGTGTGTAGACAAGCAATAGAGATGAACTTGTACTGCGCTTCAACGCCGGCTCCTCATTTCCATTCCTCTCAGTGTCTGAGCCCCTTTTTCCTCTGCTTTATTAATATTCACTAGACCCGTGTGTATTCAAACTTTGACACTGTCACCCGTCCTCCCCTTCTTCTCCACGTTCATCTCCCCGCAGTCACCATTTTGATGAGCCCATCCTGAATATTTTCCTCTCATTTAGCCTAATTTGATGACGCACAGACACACAAAGATACACTATATAATTCAGAGTTTATCCCGCTGACACGGTTGTGTAATGATGCCAGTGCTGTTGTGACAGGAGCGTTTTAGGTGACATGTTTAATAGTGGGTGCCATTTATGCTTCTGGATGTAACCTGTTTTTCTTTTTTTTTGTCTTGTGCCCTTCAACTGATTACAAATACACACTTTTTTGGCTTGCATATTTATGAAACACATCTTTGCAGCTGCAGTGTCTACACACGGGAGCGTCTGGGGAAGTTAACCTTGTTTGTTTTCCTACACTTCTTTTAGAGCAGTGATCTAAAAATGTCAGCACTCATTGCTACTCCTAGTAGTGTGTGCTTGTGCTTCTTTGTGATATAGCTGTAAACACGGAACAAGTAGTTATGCACACATATTAAAGGTATTAGTCAGTTGGAATGCTGCTGCCTTTAATCAGTGAAGTTGACTTACTGACAGGAATAAGCAAGGATGTTAAATGACAGCGTCTCTTGAGATGATACCTTTGATCAGACCTCTCAATGGAGCCTGGTTCATCAGTGATGAATGTCAGTGATGAGGTTGAGATCCTCTCCCTCTCTCTCTCTCTCTCTCTCTCTCTCTCTCTCTCTCTCTCTCTCTCCTGTTTTAGGTTTGTCGTGTTCTATGTGTATGCAGTCTTTGTAAAAAAGTAGTCTAGGGAAATGCCAAACAGGCCCCAAGCCCCTGGAGATGAGGCCGAGTCACGTTCCTTAGTCATCGTAATCACTCTGACTGACAGTGCAGACACCAGGGGCCTTACAGGCTGACTGAGGCAGTACAAAGCATGATAATGCAGTGGCAAGGCATGTGAAAAACGCCTCACTAATGGAACGTGTTGGGAGTTTTCTAGCTTTGATGAACGCTTTTCTGTGCTTTTTTTACTAGTCAGAGACAGGTGATGATCTCTGGTGATCTCTGGTTGAAGGAGGAAAAAGGGGCAATCACTCCCTGCCCTTTCCATCATCCACTTGCTGTGCTGAAAGAGGGGAGGAATTGAGAGGAAGAAGGGAAAAAGAATGAGGATAGAAAAGCAATTTGCTAACTCCATAAATCCAGCCACATGGGGTCCCTGACCTCAGAAATGGAGGCTGGAGACTGTTATTTAAAATCTGGTAACCGATGCTCTCCTATTAACGTTGAATAGGTCTTTGTCTACTGGTTGTCTACAGCGTCACGTTTATGTGGTTTATTTACGGCTTGGCACAGAGGGGCCTTGCTCTCCGAGCCGGTGAAGCCAGCACAGAATGAGGCTCAGCATGAACACAGACTCGCTGTTGTAAGGATTGATAAGGTGTGCCTGTGTGACTCAGTTGTTGGATGTTGAAACTGCAGGAGGAGAAGCTCAAGCTCACAGCAAGGTTGTTGCACTTTTGTGTTTTGATTGCCACTTGAATTCAGGTTAATTTTAGTTATAGCTTTTAGTTTTTTTTAATATAGCTGAGCTGTTGTTTTACAATGACTTCTCTTTGGCTTTTGCGTTTTTTTTACTGTTTTACTCCTCTTTCAGTAATCTTTGCTTTGGTTGTTGCCAATATAATGATATGGAGCGCGGTATGCTTGTATATGACGCATATGATGAGTGATACCAGGTTTCTATAGTTTTATTTAGTTTGTTTTTATTTATTTAGAATCAATGATATTCCTGTAAGCGATAATCACAAACATAAAAATAATTAAATAAATAATAAACCTCCACTCTAACAGCTCTCGGAGCTTGAACGAGCACAAAATCATCCACACCTTCATCTCCTGTTTGGGAACACTTTGGTTTTTCAGTAGAGGACAGTAATGGTAGGCAAAGAGTGGTAGATCGAATGGTGATAGTGTGTTGACATTGCTCAACAAAAGCATCAGAAACCTGTGCTAATACCTGAAATATGCAAACTCATTTGTGAAGACATTACACAAATGTGTCAGTTACTGGAGCAAGGAGAAAATAAGATGTTTATAGCTTCCAGTTTGCACCACTTCTTGGTTGTAGAGAGTCCTGGATTCCGCAGTTTGCTATGAGAAATTGAGCCACACTAGAAAATCCCCTCTTATACTAATTTCAGAGAGAATAAGAACCACACTTAATATAGAAACACAACTATTTTGGGACTTAACTAATAATGTTTTGGGAATTACCCCAAAATAAATAAATAAATAAATAGATAGGTAGATGTGAAAGTTATGTTAGCATTGCTTTTGTAATTCTAACTCAAAATGAATAAAAAAATAGATTTTTTAAGGGTTCTAGTTTCAGTTATTTTTGAAATATTTTAAAAATGTTTCCAGTTTATTATACTACAAAACACAGCAAATAATTGGTTTTGTGTGTGTCAGAGAGAGAGTTAATCAGATTATCACCCTGGGATTTGAATTTTTATTCTTATGTTATACTCTGTACATGTTGAAGAGTGATTTACTAATGATCGGTTTATCTACTTATAGCCTACTTCAGGTCAGATGATTATGAATTTATTATCTCATCATTATTCAGCTTTAATGAACTCTGAAAAACGTAAAGAATCGTCAAACAGATTTCTTGAAGC